TTTAAGAATTTTTTTGCTTATTTCAAAGATTCCTTTCTTTGCTGGTTTGACTAAAAAAGGTTAATTTAACTTTCAGTAGTAAATAAGCCATTAACCAAAAATAACAAAGACTAAACGCAATTCAAAATAATAACCAAGAGAATTTTTTCTTTTCCACGTGTTCAAATCACCAAACTATAAATTTTTTAAACTTAACATTATTGTTTGATTGAAAATAATTTTCGTTGACCAAAAGAAATCTCCTCGCTAAATTAGCCAAAAAGAAAATCACGGGTAGAGGAAACACGAGATAAAAGAGTTGCTTTTTCTTCAAACTAAGTTTCTTTGGCTCGACAAATTGAAAAAAATAAACTAAACTCATTGGCAAAACTAAATAATGCCAAACCAAGGAATTAATTCACCAAACTGCCGAATCTAAGAGGACTTTTCTCAATAAAATAGGCAAAGCCAAAGTAAAGCCAAGAAATGAAGTTAAATTGCTTACCGCGATAATTAGACCAAATTTTCTTTGTTTTTCCTGATGAAGAAGAGAACTTTTTTGGGACAAAAAACGGATTTCCTTTAAATTATAAAACACCGTCAGCACGGAATTCCAAGCACATCAATGGATGATAAAAAATTCCAACAAAGCATTACCAGGAGCAAGAGCAAATTTGCTTCCATTATTGAAATAAAAGGACAAGCCGCAGCAAATAATATGCAGAAAAGTGTTGATTAATAAATAAAATAATTGTTTTTTTTTTTTTTCTTTTTTCATTGTCTATACTTTTAATTTTTTATAATAAGAAGAACATAAAAAAAATAAGAGGCGACCAAAAACAAACCACTAGCCATAAGCAAATCTCAATAGCCAGGAGGCTTTTTTTGTGCCATAAGGTAAAAAAGCCTAACTAATAAAGCCAAAGCAAAGATAAAAGCTAGGATTATCAGGAAAGCAGGCCACATAAAACTGTATTTTAATCACATTAGACCAAACTAAAAATTACTCTTAAATTATTGTCACCTTGTCGTTGACCTAATTTAATAATTCGGCTATAACCTCCTGGTCGGGTCTGGTATTTTTTTCCTAAATCACCAAATAATTTACTCAGCACTTTTGTTTTTTCTTTCCCTTGCTTAAATTCAACTTTTTTTTTGCTTACTAGATAGCGTAAAGCCAAGCGATAAAAGTGCTGACGTGCTTCTTTTCTTTCTTTTTCCTTTTCGGCTTTTTTAGCTCAAGTAATTAGTTTAGCAAGCAATTTAGTTAGTCTTTTAGCCATTGGCAAACTGGTTTCAATTTTTCCGTAACAAATAGCGTCAGCCACTAAATTATTTAAAACATGCTTTCGTCAAGCCGAATTTTTTCCTGGTTTAAGTATAAATGACATATAAGTAGTATTTTTAATCAGAATTATGGCAAGAGCCTTCTATATTTTAAGATTTTGGAAAGAAGCGGTGTCCGATTTTTAAACAGCAAAACACGCATTTTTCCGCCAAAGATAAAATTCTGCGAGACTAAAAATTTCACTGGCTTTTTTAACAACTTTTAAAACTACCCCTGGCT